TTGATTAGATAATAAATTTAATCTGCACACATAGTGTAATATACTTAAACATAATATATTATTATGGTTACGACTTTTATGGGTTTATGGCGAGTAGCAGTCAATTGAACTACTTATCGTTATGTGCGGAGAGGACAGTATTAAATAATAAAATCGATATTTATACGGAAGCAGTGGCTTATTTATGGTTCTGCGATGGGGATATATTATCTTTTCGTTTGACTTTTTTCATTATTATTATTTTCCCAAGGTCTATAATTCGTTGTAGGAACATTGTCAAAATCCCAATCTTCACACCGTTCGGTCGATGTTATATATTATACAGCTAGGATGATTCGCCAAGTCCATTCACCCCCATTTTTTCCTTCAATAATAAATTTATTAAAATTCTGGTTTTGGAATTTTGAAATATACTTACTCAAAGACAATTTTTTGGTTTTTTTTCTAAGTACCTACTACTTAACGAGTGTGTTGATACAATGTTTGTTTGTTTTTTTTTTTTTTTAATGAGTACCATCCTTTTTAATTATAAATTATCGAGTGCATGATTTCTTTGAAATTGGCGAAACGTTGATATAACTGTAGTTCAAAATTCTAATGAGTAGTTTCTTAGATATTAAAATGTCTGCGCTAAGGATAATACAGTCCTTAAAAATGGTTTTACACAAATTGAAAATGAACGTAACATTGGAACTAGTGTGTTTTAATTTAAAGTGAAGCTTATTTAACGTTACAAAACAAAAAACTTGAAATAAATACACTGACTACACAACATAAACGTTTTGAGCGTTTATCCTAATAAATAAGTAAATCCAGAATATTCTTTAATAATATTCGGGTAACTTGCGAATAAAATTCGTTTCAGTTCCGATTGAAAAATGTCTATTCAGTTCATTCCAAATCAGTGTGTGAGTAAGACAATCTTATTACGTTTTTTATAGAGATAGTAGGTAAAGAAAACCAGACAGTATCTTAGAAAATATAAAACATTTCAAGAACATATTCTGGCGGTCATGTGGAAAGTATAAAATAATATATAAATTTTTTTTAAATCTTAAACATTCTTTGTTTTTCTTTTGGTTCACGATAAAAGATTCGCCCAATGTAGGTAATATTATTTTTATAAAATAAACAATAAAGCATATCAACATAAAATTGTTTTTATTTTATTTAATTTTTTTTGTTTATCAGCTATAGAATTGCTTTTGTTAGCTTTTTCCGAGAAAATAAATGAGAAATACGTAATGTGTGTGATCTGTACCTATGATGACTGTTTGTATACTGATGACTGATGAGTGATGACTATAGTACCTATTCAAATATTTTAATTTTAATCAGCAGATCTGTCGTGCAGATTTCATGATGTCGAATGTCAATGCATTGACGGAAAGCTAATGATACATTTTTTTTTATAATTATGTAGATTAAATATTATCTACATTACCAGGACCCTTGTTTTAATTATTACGAAAAACATAACTAATGTATTTTTATCACCAGTTACGATAAGTGATACAATAATTACTATATAATAATATTATAATGTAGGTGCGCATGTTTATATAGTTAATCAGTCAATTTATATACATTGTGTACCAACTATACCAAATGGTTTTATTATTATTAATAATTTTTTGAAGGGTATTGAATTAATAATTGCATTGGAATTTATTATTCTGAGAGATATGAATTTAACGATTTATGACTTTGTTCTTTTTATAACCCAATAAAGGCATTGCCATTCACAACTGTCACATTGAAAAATAATATACACGACTAACGACGGGAAATAACAAGAAACAAAAAAGTTTAAAACTATATATACACGACAGTTATGCAAAGAAGTAAAAATCAAATAAGGATGTATGACATATTATATTACATATGTAAATAAAAAATAAATATAGACATATTCGCTACTCCCCTTTTTTCTTTAAATAAACCATTTATTAAAATTTTAATTCTTGGATTTTTTATGTATAATAATATAATATGCTTATAGGGCCATATTTTAACTTATTTTTAAATTTTAATATCATCAGAGAAGTGACATGACGTGGTGATAACAACTATTTAACCTTATTTATTGTTAATTGTTAACTATCAACAATCATAGGCGCCCGCAGGGGATGGCAAGCTGGAGCATTTGCCCCCCCCCCCCTTGGCTTTTTCAAAATATTTTTTTTAATTGAATGTTTTAAGATAAATTACTATATACTATACAATAAATTTAAAATAAGTTGTAATATAATAAAATATAATATATTGTATACGAGTATAATAACAAAGGTTATTATTTTAAAACACCTAGTAAAATTATAATATTTATCGGATTTATCCTCAAATCCTAACATTGCCCCCCCCCCCCCTAGAAAAATTTCTGCGGGCGCCTATGTCAACAATGCTATTATATTTTTAAAAATGTCGGTGTTAAATAATTGTAGATAATATCTAAACCTAAATGAAATATTTTCTGAGTTATTAAAATCTATTATCGAAGGATAAAAGACTTTAAGTACTTATAATACTTAGAAAATTTTACAAAATGTTTAAAGATAACACAAAGTTAGCCAACTTAAAAACTACTTGTTAAAATTTCAATTTAGACACATCAACAATTTCATAAAAATCACCGGCTTAACAATTTGCAGTAAAAAATAGTATACCTAGTGGTTCCCTTTGATAAAAATCATTCTTGAGATTCTTAACGGTTCGTACAGATTCTAAAGGCTCTTAAGGTCTACATATTATACTAATATCCTTTTGTATAGAGTACAAATACACGTTTCTAACAATCGGTTGCAGCAGTAATGATTTGGCTTTACAGAATATTTTGACCCGGTGGCGTAGGTACGTACTTGATGTATACGATATTATGAATTAATTATTTATGAAGTGGTTTTAAACAACATTATTGTAAAATCAGTAATCACTTTGATGATAATAATATTTATTATATAATATAATGTATTTACAGAACCATTGTTTCCGAACTTTATTAATTGTTATTTGTTATGTGGTTTGTGAGAATGCGTGGTTTTTTACACCCCACAAACCACCCACGGTTCCAAGGGGCATTGAAACCGTGACCTGCCAGTCGTACCGCGTGGTAGTCGTGAGACTTACGTCAGTAGAACTGACAGGTTTTGATACACGCATCGACAAATGAATGTCGAAGATTTATAATATAATGACATAGGTTACCCTGAATAAATAATTTAAAATATGGCTTGGATTAYGGTAATAAAGAATAATATATATTTT